AGAGAGAGAGAGAGAGAGAGAGAGAGAGAGAGAGAGAGAGAGTTGCATGCATTATAAATGACACTGGTCCAATGAGCTCATCCGGCACACTCCTCTACTTCCTGATCCCACTTTAAGACGACACCCCTTTATGAATAATTTATGAGCAAGTAACCCATCGGCCTTTCTGTGAAATAATCTGAAATATTCCCGTCTCAATCTTGGCCGGCACGGTGAAAAAAATAAGGAAGAGGAAGATGAACCTACCGCGTGGACGACTCCCTCGGAGATGCACACACCTACACACACACAGAAAGAGAAAGAGAGGGGACATTAGTATCAGTGCACATCTGGGTCATGTTTCCAAGCACAGGGATTATGCGTATGATGGTTTGGGATTATCACACAGGTCAAATTTGCTGCACATGGGCTGTGAGCTCATGACGTCGTGGTGGCTCGCTGTCATCCCGCCGCATTTCCTTCTCAGACCCGCAAGGAATTTTGGGGGATTAGGATTCCATTCTAAAACATTTCTAGGTATTCAAATCCAATACACACCAATTCCAGTTTGATATAGTGAGATTAGACAATCTGGATTACACGTGCTTCGACTCTCCACCGAGTGATGCTGCATGCAAAATCTGAATGGATATGACAGTGCTACATGTGAGAACATGTAAAATGGATTCTTACGTTTACATGAGGTCCAAGTGCACAATCTGAACCTCTTGATCAAATGTGGGTTGAATTTAGGGTTCACATTACAGTCACATGTAACAAAAATCTAAACTAGGTGAGAACGGGATTGCGGATGTTTCAATTGTACTGGCACCCAATGTGAAATCTGGATCCAGTCTGGATTAAATTTGGTTTGAGATTCAATTCTGTCATCCAGCATTCACATTTTTATGAGATTAGACAGCGGCGTGAATGATCGTGACATGACATTTTCCATGTTCACTTTCAATTGGCTCAAATCTGGTTTAAATCCAGATTGGATTTGCTTCCAGTTCATGACACACAACCTGACGAGAGTTGACGGTGAGATCCCTTTCAGAACGAGTTCAAGTGGAGGAGATTGCCAATGTCTAAATTCATTTCGATCTGTTCATGCGTGACTCATTTCACCAACTTTTCTCCACTTTCATACCGAATTTGCACCCTCGAGAAAGAAAAATCACATCAGCGTGTAAATTTGTTGCTGTTTGTCAACAGCATCCCACTGCATCATCCATAATGGAGCCACTGAGAACGAGAGCGGGCTAACTTTTAGTTTTTTTTTGCCAAGGCATACCTATCAGATGAAAAGTGATCTGAATCAAAGTTTTCCAATTGTTCTATGTAGGGAGCACTCAATGACTGCACCCTCTACTTTTCCTGGTTCGTGAGTGCAACAGTGGGCCAACACGCCAGAGAATAAATCCTCAGTTTCTGGCACTCTGCACTTGTTTTTCAACACTTTCCAACGCTTTGCTGTTGTTTTTGTTTATTTTCTCCACTATTTTCACAATGACTTTCCCATGTGACGTTTTTTGTTTGACCAAGTTTGCTCCGCTGTCTTTTGGTATCCAATCTTACAACCCAAGTGCAGAAAGAAAGAAACATTCTGGCTTGGGCTCCAACCCCATCTTTCCAAATCTGCATTCATGCACAACTCGGAAAAAATCACCGCTGCCACTTTTGCCCTCTTCGAAGCAAGCAGGTGCAAAGTTAGCGAGTGACCTCCCTCGGGGTGCACCAAAATGCCGGAAAAGTCTCCCCGCGGGGGGCTCCCGATCCACCCTGACCCACTTCACCAACGCGGACAAAAATACCCACCGTGTGTCCCCCGGGGGGCGAGCAGGGCTGCGGCCAGGGCGCCCAGCACCATCCAGCGAGCCGCCATGGGCGCGGGCAAGCCGGCTCGGAATACAAACC